TCCCAGTCCCACCCTGCTCAGGAATTCCAGTGACTCACCCACCCCTCCCAGTTCCCCCCAGTCCTTCCCAGTCCCTCCCAGTCTCTCCCAGTCCCCTCCCAGTTTACCCAATCCCCTCCCAGTCCCTCCCAGTCCCTCCCAGTCCATTCCCAGTCCCTCCCAGTTCCCACAATCCCCTCCCAATTCTCCCTTAGTCCATCCCAGTTTTTCCCAGTCCCTCCCAGTATAACCTAGTCCCTCTCAGTTCCCTCCAGGTCCCTCCCAGTTAACCAATCCCCTCCCAGTTCATCCCAGTCCCCTCCCAGTCTGTCCCAGTCCCTCCCAGTCGCCTCCCAGTTCCCCCAGCTCCCCCCAGTTTGTCCCAGTCCCACCCCACTCAGGAATTCCAGTGACTCATCCACTCCCCAGTCCACTCCCAGTATAACCCAGTCCACTCCCAGTCTGTCCCAGTTCCTCCCACTTTGTCCTAGTCCCCTCCCAGTATAATCCAGTCCCTCCCAGTTCCCTCCAGGTCCCTCGCAGGTTACCCAATCCCCTCCCAGTTCATCCCAGTCCCTCCCAGTTTGTCCCAGTCCCTCCCAGTTCCCTCCCAGTCCCTCCCAGTCCATCCCAGTTTGTCCCAGTTTGCCCAGTCACCCCCCTTCCCCCCAGGGGTCAAAGGTCACGGCATGGAGCGGGAAAGCCTCGGGATACTGGTGATACTGGGAGGTACTGGGATCAAACTGGGATAAACTTGGAGGGACTGGGATGGACTGGGAGGGACTGGGATGGACTGGGAGGGACTGGGAGGGGACTGGGATGGACTGCGTTATACTGGGAGGGACTGGGAGGGCAGTGGGTTGATTTTGGGGGGAACTGGGACAAACCGGGAGCTACTGCGAAGGGAATTGGGAGGAACTGGGAGGAACTGTGAGGGAACTGGATTATACTGGGAGTAACTGGGAGGGACTGGGACAAACTGGGTTATACTGAGAGGCACTGGGATGGAACTGGGATCAAACTGGGAGAGACTGGGATCAAACTGGGAGAGACTGGGATCAAACTGGGATCAAACTGGGATGGACTGGGAGAGACTGGGATCAAACTGGGAGCAACTGGGATGGACTGGGAGGGGACTGGGACAAACTGGGAGGGACTGGAAGAGAACTGGGTTATACTGGGAGCAACTGGGAATTTACTGGGAGGGCACTGGGTTGATTTTGGGGGGAACTGGGATGAACTGTGAGGGACTGGGACAAACTGGGATTAACTGGGACAAACTGGGAGGGACTGGGATGGACTGGGACAGACTGGGAGGGACTGGGTCATACTGGGAATGAACTGGGACAAACTGGGAGCTACTCAGAAGGGAACTGGGGGCAACTGGGGTTAACTGGGAGGGATTGGGATGGACTGGGACAAACTGGGAGTAACTGGGAGGGACTGGGAGGGAACTGGAATCAAACTGGGAGGGAACTGGGTTATACTGGGAGTAACTGGGGAGGGACTGGGACTAACTGGGAAGGGCACTGGGTTGATTTCAGGGGGAAGTGGGACGAACTGGTCCCAGTGCCACCCCAAACTGGTTTAACTGGTGTCCCCTCCCCCTCTCCCAGTTCTGTCCCTGGCCAGAGGGGATCCCCCTGGTGAGTAACTGGGACAAACTGGGATGGACTGGGATGGACTGGGAATGGACTGGGAATGACTGGGAGGGACTGGGACAAACTGGGACAAACTGGGATGGACTGGGATCAAACTGGTTTATACTGGGACAGAGGGCCCATACTGGTTTACCTGGGAGGAGAAAGCCATCACTGGTTTATACTGGTCCATACTGGTTTATACTGGTTTGTACAGATTCATACTGGTTTGCAATGGGAGGTGGGATCCATAATGGTTTATACTGGTTCATACTGGTTTATATTGGGATGAGGGTTCCATACTGCCTTGTACTGGTTGATACTGGTCCACACTGGTTTTTACTGGTCCATATCTGTTAACACTGGTTTATACTGGTTTATACTGGCTTGTACTGGTTTATACTCGTTTTTACTGGTTCATACTGGTTTATTCTGGTCCATACTGGTCCATATCTGTTTATATTGGTTTATACTGGGAGGGAGTGTCCATACTGGTCCATACTGGTTTATGGCCATCCATACTGGTTTATACTGGTTTATACTGGTTTATGCTGGTTTATACTGGGTGGAGGGATCCATACTGGTCCATACTGGTTTATATTGGTCCATACTGGTCTCTCTGACCCCTGTCCCTTCCCCCCCTTACAGATGCCACCGACCCCTTCCATTACGGTGAGTGCGGGGAACTGGGAGGGACTGGGACAAACTGGGATGGACTGGGATGGACTGGAAATGTCCCCTCATTGTCCCCACTGTCCCCACTGTCCCCA